TTGTCCGGGATGCAAAATTCTCAAATTGACATTGGTGGCATCTCCACTTCTCAGACTCACTGGCACTGTTCCATCCACTCAGTCTCTTGCCTGATACCGAACCAAGAGGCAAATAATTCACTCACAGAAAAAAATACAACAAATTGTACTCTCCCTAGTTTCAACTATTGTTAAACTATGCAACACACTCTGAAGAGTGGCCAATATTCAAGTTAATTTGGCAAGATATAATGACAAGAAAGATGATGGAAAGAGATAGACATGAAGCAAGAATGATAAACAATAGCCAAAAAGAATAAGAAAAGGGAGGGAGGAATTAAAGAAGAGGATCAGGGGAAGAAAGGAGAGGGAGAGGGAGAGGGAGAGGGAGGGAGGGAGGGAGGGAGGGAGGGAGGGAGGGAGAGAGGGAGAGAGAGAGAGAGAGAGAGAGAGAGAGAGAGAGAGAGAGAGAGAGAGAGAGAGAGAGAGAGAGAGAGAGAGAGAGAGAGAGAGAGAGAGAGAGAGAGAGAGAGAGATTGATTGATTGATTGATTTAGAATGTGAGTGATTGAGCGTGAGAGAGCATAAGAGAGTGAGAGAGAATGAGAGAGAATGAGAGAGCATGAGAAAGAGAGTGAGAGAGAATGAGAGAGCATGAGAGAGAGAGTGAGAGAGAATGAGAGAGAGAGTGAGAGAGAATGAGAGAGAGAGTGAGAGAGAATGAGAGAGTGAGAGAGAATGAGAGAGAGAGAGAGAGAATGAGAGAGCATGAGAGAGAGAGTGAGAGAGAATGAGAGAGCATGAGAGAGAGAGTATGGAGTATGAAAATAAATACCTTCATTTGGACCACATTTAAGGCAAGAGGAGCGAGACCCAAAGTTGTAGAACTGACATGAACCACATGTCCAGCCATCTCCATGGCTTCTGGAGGACCTGCCAACATCAGTCCCACTGCTTCTGTTTCCTGAATGGGATGCATTACAGTAAACATTAATTTGATACAGACAGTGGCAAACTTGAAGGGTTGAGAGATGATAATAAACCTTAATATCTATGAAATATACACCAGAATTAACATTTACCTTTCTAACAAACTAATGAATAAGTTGCCATACAAAGAAGTGATATATATCTCTGCTGAAAAGAAAGCCAATGTAATTACTTACTGAAGTCATGACTTCCTGTTGACTGAAAATACTGAGAATCCATATCTGCAACAATAGGATTTCAAAAATTAATTAAATCAAACACAACATACGATTAGGGGAGTTGGTAATAATGAAGATAATATTACAGGTGAAAAGTGGGAGGAAAACACTTTCATATACACAAAAACTATGGAATCCTTTGAAGTCATTTTCATTTTTATACCCAATTCTGGGCCATTCCTAGAGCCACGTTGACAGAACAGCAGTCTCACTTCATACTTTTCTCGATATCAACTGCAAATTGATCTAAATCTGCTGATCCCCATGAATACAAAAGCTTTCGTCTTGCTTGAAAGGCCATGGCAAAATAAGACACACAACGAAACGATTTGTTTTGTTGAATGTGTAGGATATTCGTTGATCTGACAGGCCCCTTGGTCAACATTTCATTGCTCGTGTGCTAAGCCTAGCCTAAGTAGTTAATTACTGTGGCTTAAATAGTCAAATACTGTGGCTTAATTCGTAAGACAGTTCACCCCAAGAACAATGCTGATACATACATCTTTAAGATAATGAGCACCACCCAGAAGAAACAAAGGGAAATCCTCAAACTGGTCGGTCGAATTCCCAGCAGCCTAAACGTCTGGACATCAGTGTTACCACGCACTGGTTTATTCCCTTTACCAAAGCTTTGAACTTATTACCCTATCAATATGTATATGGTAGAATTATGAACTGATATTGAAAATGGGTAATTTGGCAATATTAAACGTGCATAATCTAATATAAAAAGATGAAAATAAGTAATCTGGTGATACTTTTGCAAGCGAGTGAACGTTTTACATTTTCGCATTTTCAGCTGTAATGGACGGAAGTAATTTTCTTAAGTGCGAGAAAATATTTCTATTCTAATATATAAAGAAAGATAAAAGATGAATGAAGAATCTGTAAGCCTTTGCTTTCCATTCACAATAGGAGTAAAAGTATAAGAATAACGAGTTTTGTCGGTAAGGATTCGAACTACCGTTGTACGGATTCGAAACGGCATATTCGCAAAAAAAAATAATAATAATAATAAAAAAAAAAAAAAAAAATAAAATGTATTTATCTTCTAATTATAATCAGTATAAGTAGCTAATTATTTGGCGATCATAAGATGTCTTCACACACTTTTCACTCTTGCCATAACTTTTTTTCTCAATAAGGGCACACAGTATATTTATATTATTATCACCATCATTGTAGATATTTTAGCGTATAACCATTGCTGCTATCAACATTATCACTATTGTCATGATAATGATAGCAATGATGATACTGTAATGACTAATGTAAATAAAAGATCATCATCAATAACTAATAGTGGTGATAATTTATGTAAAATTCAACAGTAATAATGCTGGTGTTATTGTAATTGTAATCTTACCACTAAAGGTAACACTTGGTAGATTAACAAAATCAATGAGTGATCATGGTAAGAAACATAATAATCATTATGACCGTAGTCGCTTTATAATTAATAATAATTATAACAAAACTAATTTCGCATACAAAAGAAATAGTAGATTAAGGTCGTGGACATGTCATCGAGATTTCTGTTGCTTCTGTTATTATGTAGTTTACCTAATGTACAAGATTTTAGAAGAAATATTTTCATATAAAAATTTCCATATCTGCTTTATCTAGCGCGGAAATTCTCAAGAAATGTATAACATGTTAAACTGGATACCATGTATAGTGAAAGAGCATCTGGTGTTCCCAGGTGGTCACTCATCCAAGTACTGGCTCTACTATTAATTTTGCTGATCGGACGAGAAGCGGTGACTTCAACGTAGTATATCTGTTAGGGAAAGAAATAGCAATCTGTATGATTATAGCAATGCCCATCTACACTTCAATGTTCCTTTTAGTCTTTGACTTTGTATATTCCTATTACTTGCATTTCTTTTGAACCTACATTTACTCGTCACAGAAGCCGACCATTAAGGGAAGTAAATGTAACTTGGGTTCACTGTTAGTAAGATCATGCACAGACGACAGTATTTTTATCACTCCGGCTCTGGAACTCTGCTAGGAATGGTACAGAACCAAAATTTCAAAACTGCTGTCAAACGTATTGCTAAAACGTGATCGTGACTGTTTCTTAGACAATCATTATTTACTTTACTTTAGTTATGCCCTTAACCGTTTTCTGTTTATCCTTCTTTCTCAATCTGAAGGTGTTGATTTTTACTTTATTTCGTATAGACTGGAGTATAATTTCGAATGATTTTTTATATAAATATATGAAGAGCTGTTAAATGTGGGAAACATGCATAACACATTTATCTTAAATAATAAAATGCCAACAGCACCTGGTGTTCCCAGGCGGTCACCCATCCAAGTACTGACTAGACCCAACGTTACTTAATTTTGCTGATCGGACGAGAAGCGGTGCTTTCAACGTGGTATGATCGTTGACATTTGAAGAAAGAACATTAATCAAATTTCTGTCCGTGTTTACATTTTTTTCAAATATATCATTTAAATAGAATGTATCCTTTCTTTGTGCATTAAACTTCATTGCTATTAGATGCTAGTTGTGACGGGTGTGTGAAAGACACACTAACAGCCTACACTAACAATAACACAAACACAGTAAGGTAAATGTACATTTTACAAAACAGGAATATAGCCGACCCATACACATATAAAATAAAAAAGGCACACACTATGTTTATATTATCACCATCACTATAACTCTTTTCAGCGCATTGCTATTATCAACATTATCAGTCATGATAATGATAATAATGATGCCACTGTAATGGCTAATACAAATCATAAATGACCATATCACTAATGGTAGTGATAATATTAGCAATGATAATTTGAATAAAGATTCAACAGTAATGCTGATAGTTATTTTAATTGTAATTCTACCACTAAAGGTAATACTTAGTAAGTTAACAATTAGATCAGATTAATGAGTGATCAAGGTAAGAAAAAACAATAATTATTGTAATCGTAGAAGTCTTATGATCGTAATCATTATAACAAAACTAATTACGTATAGGAAGAAATAGTAGATTAAGGTCGTGGACATGTTATCGAGATTTCTGTCACTCCTATTGATATGTAGTTTTCCTATTGTGCAAGTTTTTCTATGGAATATTTTCATATAAAACTATCCATACCTGCTTTGTATAGCGCGTAATAACATGCATAACATGCTAACATGTTCAGCATGTATATTGAAACAACAGCATCTGGTGTTACCATTCGGTCACCCATCCAACTACTGACCCAACTGTTAATTCTGCTGATCGGACGAGAAGCGGTGACTTCAACGTGGTATGATGACTGTTAGGGAAAAAAATAGCAATCTGTATGATTATGGCAATGCCCATCTACAATTCAGTTTCCCTTTCGTCTTTGGCTTTGCTATATATTCCTATTACTTGTCTTCCTTTTGGACCTACATTCACTTGTCACAGAAGCCGACCATTAAGGAAACTAAATCTCACTTGGGTTCACTGGTTACTTAAATCTTCCACAGACGTCAGTATTTTTCTTTCAAATAATTTCGCACGAAATTTTTTGTCCTGGAATTAGATCTCCCTTCCCACCTATGCCATATTACCACTTTTCATATATTAGTTTAAACTAATGGTCTAGATTAAATAAAAAAAAATGATGAAAACATTCTACCGTGCTGATACTATGGTAGAAAAACCCACAATGTAAAAAACTAGATTTATTGAAGATGAGACAACAGTTTCGGAATCCACCTGGATTCCATCCTCAGGTCTGTTGTCTGTTGTCTCATCTTCAATAAATCTAGTTTTTACATTGTGGTTTTTTTCTACCAATTATATACTTATATTTTATTTGAGACCCGTCGAAGTGGGCTAAAGAATAATTGAGTAAGACTCATTTTGTTCCCTTCCAAAGAAACCTTTAGTAAATGGCGAAAGATTTATGCGTTCTGAAAGGATCTTATTTGTAAAAATAATTGTCACTTTACTGTACTTTACTTTAGTTATGCCCATAACCGTTTTCTGTTTATCCTTCTTTCTCAATCTGAAGGTGTTGATTTTTACTTTATTTCGTATAGACTGGAGTATAATTTCGAATGATTTTTTATATAAATATACGAAGAGCTGTTAAATGTGGCAAACATGCATAACACATTTATCTTATATAATAAAATGCCAACAGCACCTGGTGTTCCCAGGCGGTCACCCATCCAAGTACTGGCTCTACTATTAATTTTGCTGATCGGACGAGAAGCGGTGACTTCAACGTGGTATGATGACTGTTAGGGAAAAAAATAGCAATCTGTATGATTATGGCAATGCCCATCTACAATTCAGTTTCCCTTTCGTCTTTGGCTTTGCTATATATTCCTATTACTTGTCTTCCTTTTGGACCTACATTCACTTGTCACAGAAGCCGACCATTAAGGAAACTAAATCTCACTTGGGTTCACTGGTTACTTAAATCTTCCACAGACGTCAGTATTTTTCTTTCAAATAATTTCGCACGAAATTTTTTGTCCTGGAATTAGATCTCCCTTCCCACCTATGCCATATTACCACTTTTCATATATTAGTTTAAACTAATGGTCTAGATTAAATAAAAAAAAAAAATGATGAAAACATTCTACCGTGCTGATACTATGGTAGAAAAACCCACAATGTAAAAAACTAGATTTATTGAAGATGAGACAACAGTTTCGGAATCCACCTGGATTCCATCCTCAGGTCTGTTGTCTGTTGTCTCATCTTCAATAAATCTAGTTTTTACATTGTGGGTTTTTCTACCAATTATATACTTATATTTTATTTGAAACCCGTCGAAGTGGGCTAAAGAATAATTGAGTAAGACTCATTTTGTTCCCTTCCAAAGAAACCTTTAGTAAATGGCGAAAGATTTATGCGTTCTGAAAGGATCTTATTTGTAAAAATAATTGTCACTTTACTGTACTTTACTTTAGTTATGCCCATAACCGTTTTCTGTTTATCCTTCTTTCTCAATCTGAAGGTGTTGATTTTTACTTTATTTCGTATAGACTGGAGTATAATTTCGAATGATTTTTTATATAAATATACGAAGAGCTGTTAAATGTGGCAAACATGCATAACACATTTATCTTATATAATAAAATGCCAACAGCACCTGGTGTTCCCAGGCGGTCACCCATCCAAGTACTGGCTCTACTATTAATTTTGCTGATCGGACGAGAAGCGGTGACTTCAACGTAGTATATCTGTTAGGGAAAGAAATAGCAATCTGTATGATTATGGCAATGCCCATCTACAATTCAGTTTCCCTTTCGTCTTTGGCTTTGCTATATATTCCTATTACTTGTCTTCCTTTTGGACCTACATTCACTTGTCACAGAAGCCGACCATTAAGGAAACTAAATCTCACTTGGGTTCACTGGTTACTTAAATCTTCCACAGACGTCAGTATTTTTCTTTCAAATAATTTCGCACGAAATTTTTTGTCCTGGAATTAGATCTCCCTTCCCACCTATGCCATATTACCACTTTTCATATATTAGTTTAAACTAATGGTCTAGATTAAATAAAAAAAAAAAATGATGAAAACATTCTACCGTGCTGATACTATGGTAGAAAAACCCACAATGTAAAAAACTAGATTTATTGAAGATGAGACAACAGTTTCGGAATCCACCTGGATTCCATCCTCAGGTCTGTTGTCTGTTGTCTCATCTTCAATAAATCTAGTTTTTACATTGTGGTTTTTTTCTACCAATTATATACTTATATTTTATTTGAGACCCGTCGAAGTGGGCTAAAGAATAATTGAGTAAGACTCATTTTGTTCCCTTCCAAAGAAACCTTTAGTAAATGGCGAAAGATTTATGCGTTCTGAAAGGATCTTATTTGTAAAAATAATTGTCACTTTACTGTACTTTACTTTAGTTATGCCCATAACCGTTTTCTGTTTATCCTTCTTTCTCAATCTGAAGGTGTTGATTTTTACTTTATTTCGTATAGACTGGAGTATAATTTCGAATGATTTTTTATATAAATATACGAAGAGCTGTTAAATGTGGCAAACATGCATAACACATTTATCTTATATAATAAAATGCCAACAGCACCTGGTGTTCCCAGGCGGTCACCCATCCAAGTACTGACCAGACCCAACGTTGCTTAAGCTTTCAACGTGGTATGATCGTTGGCAAAGAAAGTGAGCTATTAACCAGATTTCAGTCAGTGCTTACATTTTTTCATATATTTAAATAGAATGTAACTTTTGATTTTGCATTACACTTCATTACCATTCCATTCTACATATGACGAGTGTATGAAGAGAAACACATACTGTCTATATTAGCGTATGATTATTGCTGCTATCAACATTATCATTATTGTCATGATAATGATAACGATGCTTCTATAATGACTAATGCAAATCATAAAAGATCATATCAGTAATACTGGTGATATTAATGATGATATTTTGAATAAAAAATAAGTAGTAATGCTGATAATCATCTTTCTACTTGTAATCCTACCACTAAATGTAAATAATGGTAAGTTAACGATTAGAGAAAATTAGTGATAGTGATCATGGTAAGAAAAGACAGTAATCATTGTGATCATGGCCATGTTATTTCAACATATCCAACTACAGGTATGGGATATGGTAGATTGAGATCGGAGACATGTTTTCGAGCTTTCTATCTGTCACTTTATCTTCATATGTAGTTCCTATTGTGCAAGTTTTTGTTTGCAATATTTTCACATCAAATTTTGTATATCTGCTTTATCTGGCGCTAAAATTCTCAAGAAATGAATAATATATTTAGCATGTATTTGGTATGGCTCCTAGAAAAAGAAATAGCAATCTGTATGATTATGGCAATGCCCATCTACAATTCAGTTTCCCTTTCGTCTTTGGCTTTGCTATATATTCCTATTACTTGTCTTCCTTTTGGACCTACATTCACTTGTCACAGAAGCCGACCATTAAGGAAACTAAATCTCACTTGGGTTCACTGGTTACTTAAATCTTCCACAGACGTCAGTATTTTTCTTTCAAATAATTTCGCACGAAATTTTTTGTCCTGGAATTAGATCTCCCTTCCCACCTATGCCATATTACCACTTTTCATATATTAGTTTAAACTAATGGTCTAGATTAAATAAAAAAAAAAATGATGAAAACATTCTACCGTGCTGATACTATGGTAGAAAAACCCACAATGTAAAAAACTAGATTTATTGAAGATGAGACAACAGTTTCGGAATCCACCTGGATTCCATCCTCAGGTCTGTTGTCTGTTGTCTCATCTTCAATAAATCTAGTTTTTACATTGTGGTTTTTTCTACCAATTATATACTTATATTTTATTTGAGACCCGTCGAAGTGGGCTAAAGAATAATTGAGTAAGACTCATTTTGTTCCCTTCCAAAGAAACCTTTAGTAAATGGCGAAAGATTTATGCGTTCTGAAAGGATCTTATTTGTAAAAATAATTGTCACTTTACTGTACTTTACTTTAGTTATACCCCTATCCGTTTTCTGTTTATCCTTCCTGCTCACCCTGACGGCAATAACTTTTACTCTGTTTCATACTGACTGACTTATAATTTCGATTGATTTGCATATCCAAATATAATAAAAGCTGTTAAATGTGGTAGAGAAAGTCATGATATATTTAGCTCATATAATAAATTGCCAACAGCATCTGGTGTTCCCAGGCGGTCACCCATCCAAGTACTGACCAGACCCAACGTTGCTTAAGCTTTCAACGTGGTATGATCGTTGGCAAAGAAAGTGAGCTATTAACCAGATTTCAGTCAGTGCTTACATTTTTTCATATATTTAAATAGAATGTAACTTTTGATTTTGCATTACACTTCATTACCATTCCATTCTACATATGACGAGTGTATGAAGAGAAACACATACTGTCTATATTAGCGTATGATTATTGCTGCTATCAACATTATCATTATTGTCATGATAATGATAACGATGCTTCTATAATGACTAATGCAAATCATAAAAGATCATATCAGTAATACTGGTGATATTAATGATGATATTTTGAATAAAAAATAAGTAGTAATGCTGATAATCATCTTTCTACTTGTAATCCTACCACTAAATGTAAATAATGGTAAGTTAACGATTAGAGAAAATTAGTGATAGTGATCATGGTAAGAAAAGACAGTAATCATTGTGATCATGGCCATGTTATTTCAACATATCCAACTACAGGTATGGGATATGGTAGATTGAGGTCGGAGACATGTTTTCGAGCTTTCTATCTGTCACTTTATCTTCATATGTAGTTCCTATTGTGCAAGTTTTTGTTTGCAATATTTTCACATCAAATTTTGTATATCTGCTTTATCTGGCGCTAAAATTCTCAAGAAATGAATAATATATTTAGCATGTATTTGGTATGGCTCCTAGAAAAAGAAATAGCAATCTGTATATTTATGGCAATGTCTATCTACAATTCATTTTCCCTTTAGTCTGACTTTGCTGTAAATTCCTATTACTTGCCTTCCTTTTCGACCTACATTCACTAGTCACAGAAGCCGACCATTAAGGGAAGTAAATCTCACTTGGGTTCACTGGTTACTAAACTATACCGTCTGTGCTAAAGCTCATCTTATTTGCTTCACTTTCTTCACTATTAATTTATAAAGCTTATATCCATTGTTTTATCCAAATACACTTTATCGTTTTTTTACGATTTTGAGTCAAATTTATACAGCTACTACAATATGATATTAAACTAAAAGTATAACATTACGAATAATTTGAGACGAAATTATTTGTCCTGGAATTAGATTTCCCTTCCCACCAATGCCATGTTACCACTTTTCATACACTAGTTTAAACCAATGGTCTAAACTGAAGAAAAAAAATGGTTGATGCCTCATAATATAGTATTGAACAAATATGCCTTTCACTTACATGCTAATATTTTATTTGAAACCCATCAAGGTG